CAGCTGCTGCTGTGTTGCGTATACGTCCTGTGCAATTATCATGATAGAAGCACAGTGGCATGAGATTCATGGTGTCTGCTGAAATGACACCAGCCCGCAGCCGTGCCAGCGACAAGCACCGTCACACATCACTGGGCGGTCACGCATGAGCAGAGGAGAGGGTAGATAAAAGGTCAAAGAATACCGTATTTAAAAAAAAGAAAAGAACAGAGAACGAAAATAACTGAAAGGGAAGAATGAAAAAAAAAACAACCCCGCTCATGGAAAGCAGAGGAAGAGTTGGGTACGAATGTAAAAGGGCGTGTGAAGATTTCGTCGGAGTGTTGCGTTTGACGCTAAGGGTGGGCTAAAAGTGTTATTGAAGGGGACAGAGGAAGTGTTCTCACTTAACAGTGGTCGTAAGTATAAGTCTAAGGAATACGCTGAGTGCAGCTGTTTGTTCAGCAGTGTGTTTTTTGTTTTAGTAAGAGTTTTATTGTACTTGCGACGCGCTTAGGTCATCGAAGTGCCGAAGATTAGACGTATCACATGAGAGTAACAAACATCAAAACGTAGAAGTGACAAGGACTATAGATGTTTGATAGGATAATATAGTGTAAAGCGCATAGAGCCTGCTGTTGAGCGGGGATATGCGCTATACAAATGCTATCTATTATTATTATTATAGGAAAGAAGGAGCAAATCACACCAGTGCGTCCGCCAATCACCCACTTGCAGGGTTTGTATTCAGCGCATCAAGATAAAACACATTAATACGAAAGGATTTGGTTTCGTTTCCAGATTTGAAAGTACATTCAACTCTAATAAAAATGCAAGACCCAAATCTGTATCCGGTCGTTTTGTCAGATCACGGGTTGAATAATGACAATGATGCTTGCGTAATGTACATAGCACAATGTCCCTACTTGAAAGTAGGTTCTATGCGGTTCTTTGTATAGGAAATATCTTTAGGGCCAAGGGCGAAGTAGGCTGTAGAACAAAAAACGTGACATGAGAAATGCCTTTATAGAGAAGGTCTGAAAGTGACAGGAAGGGTTTAACTGCTTTTGTTCCGGGCACCAGTAAAGCACATCAAAGGCTATAGACTAGGTGTAAATAAATCATGATGCTTAAAGAGGTGATCTGTTCTATTCAGGAATTTTTAGTTATTGTGTTTCAGATTTTTTAAATTGTGATTATTGTTAAGAGAACTTTGTGATGAGTTATGATGACAGGGTAGTCGAAGCTTACCGCGTGGAGACTCCAACGTCTGTGGTGTAGAGGTTAGACTCTTTGTTGCAAAGGACGAGAGTTCGATTCCCGAGTGGGAAGGTCTGTTCTATTATATATCATCCTTTTGCTGCTGGGAAGTACCTGACCTTGCCCGCCTTTTTTTTCTTTTAAAAAATTAGGTAAAGTGTTTTACGGTGCTCACAATTACATAATGTCATATGAGCGCGCGGACACGTATTTAACGTGCGCAACTTGCACACGGGACCTCCGAGATTTTTTGCCCTTGTCCTAGAAAGCTAGGCAGGTGTAGATCTTTCCTACCAGAAGATCAGTGGTGTGGCAGAAGGAGCCAAGGAATAGCAGTAGAAAGGCTGCAGAAAGAATCAGGAGCCCAGTGGAGGCGGTAAAGGCGGTGAGGAGGGGGAGGGGTGTGGGTGGAAGGAAGTGGAGACAATAGAAGACGACAAAATATTGCTAGGCAGAATGAAAAAAGGTGAAAGGAGACAATTTTGGAGAAGAAAATGTTTCCATCGCTACCCGGAGTCGAACCTGGGACCTTTGAACGAGAGGCGAACACTTTAACCTCAAGGCCACGATCGAGAGCCCCCATGCCAGAGTTTGTCGAAGTCGAAGCAGGTCGCCTTCTAAATAATCAAAACATTTATAATTTATCTCTGTCAGCGGTGAATTTCCATGACCCTTATATTTAACCTTTGAAGTCGCTTTTAAAGAAGGAAAAAAAAGCAAATTAGAAAAACGACAAAATTACGACCTCCCCCCCCCCAAAAAAAGACAAAAACAAAACAAAAGCAAAATAACAATAAAAACAAACAAACCCACCCAACCCAAAATGCCGCACACACATGTTCATTTTTTAAGAACATGTAGATCTAGAGCTAAAAAAAATTACGTAAAAAGCAACAAACAGCAAAAAAGAAAAGAAAAAAAGGCAACAACAAAAATCCCAACAAAAAGCAGGAAACAAACGCACAAACGAAAAAACATGTCCCAAT